ATATTTATGATTTAGAAGTATAGTTTAATATTATTGTGTAAAATTATTTGTAAGAGTTCAATCATAATAGTTTAATTAAAAGAATTAAAAAAATGGGGGAAACTTGAAAAAAATAATTAATTTTTTATTATTTTTAATTTTTTTTGGGCCAACCCGCCAGGTTGGCTATTGTAAACAAATAACACCCCACCGGGTTGGCGGATTGCCATATAGCAACCCGACCCGTCTCGGGGTTACATGCGGGTTGAGTTCAACCCGACCCGTCTATAAGATGGTCCGGATTGAACTCTCTCTAATGCGAGCTAGGTTAGGGCTGACCTGCCTAACTCGACCCATTTGTTCCACCTTTAGCTCCATTGATTAACGGTTGAAATTTAAAATATTGGTTAACGACGAAGATGAAGTAAAGCTGTATCTGTGACCATTTCTCATTGGTTTGGAGGGAAATTTAAATGTCAGTTGTTGACCTTTAGCAATTTGAAAAATTGGGGTCAAATTAATTAGCAAATTTTATAGACCCCTTTGAGCTATTTGGGAGGAAATTTGAGCAATATTGGACATAGGAGTCATTATCAAAATTGTCAAGTATATATCCTTAATAACATTGATGCTAGGGAATAATATTTTGAGCATTAACACATCTCAATATATATATTTTATATTTTTAGTTAATTTTGGTACATTTAATGGTATAACTGTTGAGGAGCGGTTTAGTACGTTGAATGTTATGATAAAAGAAGATATAAGTAGAGATACTTAATATATTTTAAAACTAAGAGCTAAAAAAATTAGAAAATGAAAAAACCAAATAAACAACGAACTAGTTTCAATTTTTGCTGATTGTAGGATGGGATAAAACAACCTCGATTTTTAGCATTCTTATCCAAATCAAAGTTAGAGTGATTTGCAATCTAACTCAGTATGACCAAAATTTAGATGTGGCAATGGGCCATGCCGACACGTGGACCGACACAGCCTACAATTTTGTTGGCACAGCCCATCGTGGCATGAACGTGTCGTGGGCTTAGGATTTGGTACATGGGCTGACATGACACTACCCATGAATTTAAAAAAAATAAAAAATTTTAAATTTTTTGATAAAAGCCTATGCGGCATGTGGGCTGACCCATGAAGGCATGGCACGGCATGACCCATCAGGCCATGGGCCGTGCCTTGGGCCTTGAGTTTTGGTTGTCTGGCACGGCATGACCCACGACACTGTTGACCATGAAATTTTTGGTCTAGCACGATCCACCGCCACCTCTGGACCAAATCGAAGCCTCGCCTGACATGGAGGCCTAGTGTGGCTTCGGTCTTGCCACGCCAAGGCCAACAACGCTGGCCTTTGGTAGCTACATGGTTGGCCTTTGCACACTGTTAATTTTACATGGTTGGCCTTTGCTCACTGTTATTTATTTATTTTATTTTTTTTTAGTTTAATGATTTTTTTATATTTTATTTTGTGTCTCTATTGGTTGGTTGAAAACTTTTTAGTTGACCTCCTCTTACTTTTTTTCATTTTTAAATTTATGCATCATGTAATTACTAATATCCGTAGTTTTTGTCAAGTCTTACAAATTACGTTTGTTAGCTGTCCCTAAATTGAAGAATTTGAAACTTGTTTCCGTTTTTTATCATTTCAAAAAAAATTTGTATCTTCATAATAGTCTCCCAATTAAAAAATACTTGACCCCCTAGTGTAATAATAAGGTATGATGTAATAATAAAAATCTTCTTACCATTAGTGAGCCATTAGAATTTATATTATTATGAGTTAATGAATATTTATAAATTATCTTTTTACTTATTTTAACACCTAAAATTTAACCGTTAGATATTTTTGGTATTTGAAAAACATAAAGGGCATTACTGTTAGTATCTCTATTTAACATAATTTAACCATGTTATTGGAGTAACATTACTCATTTTAACCAGTGTAACTTTCAATAAGCAAAGGGTCAATAATTATTTGAAGCATCAAAAATCTGAGTTGACCAAGCAACATTATCTCAATATAACCATCGCTGGGTGGCCTAATCGTAAAAGTGTAAAAGAGGATCTAATATGGTCTCCCAAGTTTGAATTCCTTTGATAATAAAAGAGTAAGAGGATGATCTAACATAGTCTTCCAAGTTCGAGTTTCTATAACCCCTAATAGGGGTAGCTACTAGAGATTTTACTCGACCGGTAATTCCAGGGTCTCGAGAGATTAATTGAGGTGTACACAAACTGGCCCAGACACCCTAGGTCATAAAAAAAAAAAAAAAAAAGCACTATCCCAATACTGTAACATTAACATATCGTTCTTAATATAACGAGGTAGGAATAATAAGAAAAGTATCATGAGACAAACTGCCCACTAAGTTGCTCCTTTGTTTTATTAAGCTTAGTAGTCACCATATTACATGTATGTTGATGTGACTCGTTCCCTTCTAATTTTAATCAAAATGACATGTATTCTTTGACTCACAAATTCAAACTTCAAAAGAAACCCTTAATTTATTAATTGCATTAGAATTAATGATATTCTATAGATATGGGTTTCTAAACTAAGTTTTGATCTACTTGAATTAGACAAATTAATCCTCTATCCATTTCCTATAAGTTATAAACTAATAGATGATCCCATCACAATTTGGGGACTAAATAACTAATCAAATTTTATTGATTAATAGTTAATTTATAGTTTATTTTGAAGATTGGATTGCCATTTAAAGACAAATTGCATGTGGCTTGGCAAAGACTCTTCATTTATATATCTTCCTTCCATGACCTCATCCCTTGTTTTCTCTTCAATGTTATGGTAAGACTCATCTCTACTAGCTTTCTATAAAATGGGAGATTGAGGTGGGAATTCATTTACCTATGTACCCTGAAAAGATTTAGATTTAGTTTAAAAGACCAAGGGTTCGTTTGTTTCATTATTTTCTACCTTATTTCTAATCATATTCTCAAAATAACTGTCCGTTTCATTATTTAGGAAATACTATTATATTTTATTCAATTCTTTTAGATCCCTTAAGTTTATTAATTTAATTAAACACCTCCAGAAAAAAGTTTAAAAATTAACAAAAACACCCCCATCCACCCACATTTGCTAGATTCCGGTGGCTATCGTCGAAAGGTGGCCAAAATTTGGTATAATAGCGCACTACCGACTGAATCTTGCCGGTAGTGCGCCGATCTATCATTTTCTGGCCAGATCCATGGCCAAAGATTTGGCCGTTGACGACTAGATCTTTGGCCGTAACTTGACGTCTTGGCTGTCGTTGACGACCAAACATGGCCAGATCTTGCCGTAGATTTGGCTGTAGATCTGGCATTTTCCAGCCAGATCCACGATGGATTTGGTTGGAAAAGGCCACCTTGGTGTACGATTGGCCAGATCTAGCCGGTTGTGCGTCGATATGATGACTCCGGCCACCCTTCGACGGTGGTGGCCGGCTACCAGAATTTAACTGGTGAGTGGGGGTGTTTTTGTAATTTTTAATATTGTTATTACAGGGGTGTTAGTTATTTAACAAAGTTAGGGGGTGTTTTTATTAATTTTCAAATTCTACCTCGTTATTCCCACCCAACTCTAAAAATATCATAAATCCTATCCAAAATACTAAAACAAACAGACCCAAAACTTTGCGTGATAGATGTACATACAACCGGTTAATGAAGGAGCACGCATATGGCATGCACATTGAGGTGACATGGTTTTGTTGGCTAGTTGTTTGCAGATTCGTTGCACATAAGACTTTCTCCGATGAGTGAAAGATTTGAACATGAAATCTTTCTGATAATATTAGATAGATTAAAATTAATATTTCAATAATGTTACGTGTACAAAGTTGGAATGCAAACCCATGTAGGAGTTGATTTGATAATATCATCTTAATTATACGATGATAGACTATGTAAATTAATTTGTCAACAAACTGTTATATAAATTGTGATACAAATTTAAGAACTCTAACAAGAATCTCGCTTATTGCAAACAACAAAAGGGATAAGACATGAAACTTTTGTAGAAGTCAGGTTTGACTATTATATTAAGTCCCAAAACTCCTGGGGGACAAAAATATTCTGAACAAATTCTAGTTTACTAATTTTGACACTAGCAATAGATTGAGACCTTCATGTGCCCTTCAATTGTTATATGCGTTGTTCAATATTTATCATTTCAATGATTTCATCTCTTTTGTTTCTTTCCATATATTCAACTTAAATTAATAGCTCAAAAACAAAACTATAATTGGAAAATTCTCACCAAAGATATGCATCCACTTGTGGCGTATTCTCACATTTATGTATAAAAAATATGCTTGCCAAAGTGATTAGTACAACACATTTGCTCTTGATTATTTAACTCAGAAATGGTCAGTTTGCTGGATGATTTTGCTTCTTTTAATCACATTTCATGGTTGGTAATTGCATCCAAATTTGTAATTTATACAAATCACAGTATTCATTGAATACTGAAAGTTTCAAATGAAATCAAGCATATTCGATCTAGTTCTTGTTATTATATACATATTTTCAGGAGTTACTAGGTCCAAGCCATGGTAGCAAGCTATTCCTATCCCTTCGAGTGTGTTTCTGACATTTTCATTATTCCGTATTAACGCTCTTAATAAAACATATTTTAAATTATATCCATATTAAATTGATTGGTATTTGTATAACTAAAATTTTTTTCTCTCATTCGTGAACATAAAATCGATATTATTCCAGTAACATATATAAGGTATCTTTTAACATCAAGTTTTATTAAATATGTAAGGTTGATACTTAATAATTCATTCACCTTCTAATGAGCATGGATACTTCATTTCTGAATTAATTTTATAGCTTTTAAGGTTTAAATCCTGTCAGCTATTCCAGCTTATCCACTCTTCCAAGTATAAATTATACAATTCTTCACTCCTTGATTTAATGGAGCTTGATCAAGTCCATTGCCTGGTTGAACCAAACTTCATGGAAAATCTCCAGGATTATAGTCTGGAAACTGAATGCTTTTGCAGGAAGAAGATCCCATCTCCGCAAACACGATTCCAGGTGATGAGATTCTTGGCAATGAGAACCTGAAAAGATTGCTCCAGATAGAGACAGAACTCATGGATTTCGCTTCCATTAGTCAAGACACAGTGAGTTCCAGTCCTGGAAGTTCCCTGGGAAAAGAAATGAGCCCTGGAATGGTTCAAGCAAAGGAAGAGAAAATTTTGAAGGGAATCCAGGAAAAGTTGAATGAAGAAAGCAGTGTAACTGATCTCCTGGTGATGGGAGCAGAAGCTGTTGAAGCGCGAAATCGGATTCTGTCTTCAGCCATTGTTGCGAAGCTCAACAGTCTCTTGGAGGATGGAGAAAATGGAGATAACCCCTTTTAATAGGCTGGCTCTGTTCTTCACTCGGGGCCTGTTTTATAAGAGCATTGATGCTCCTGAAATGTTCCAGGAGCCTGTCGCTAAACAGGCATACAATTGCCTACCTTTCAGGTGCTCCAGGAACTCTTCCCTTATGTAAAATTTGCTCATTTCACAGCCAATCAAGCAATCCTGGAAGCCACAAAGGGTGATCAAGAGATTCATGTCATTGATTTCCATATCATGGAGGGGACCCAATGGCCGCCTTTGATGGTTGATCTGGCGTCGAGAAAGAATGTTGTTTCTCTCAGAGTAACGGCCATCATAACTGACCAGGAAAATTCAATCTCTGTTCAGCAAACAGGAAGAAGACTCAAAGAATTTGCAGATTCAATCCATTTCCGATTCATATTCGATCAGATCCTGATAATGACAGACAAAGATTTTGAATCAATCAAGACTGGCCACACTCTGATAGCCAACTGCATGATGCATCAGCTTCACATGCCTAAAAGAAGCTTATCCCAGGTGAAAACTGTCATGAATGGTGTGACAAAACTCTCACCGAAAATTCTCATTCTAGTAGAGGAAGAACTGTTCAGTTTTACAAGAACTCCATCAATGTCATTTGTGAAATTCTTCTGTGAGGCCCTCCACCATTACACAGCACTTTCCGACTCCCTTTTGAGCAATTTTTCCAAGCAGAATGAACCAGGATTAAAACAGATAGAAAAGGAGTTTCTGGAGATCAGAATTCTGGACACTATAAGCCAATTTCCTTCTGGAAATAAAGAGAAAATGCAATGACGAAAAGGGTTTGATTTTATAAGAGAATTCAAGCCAATAACTTTGAGTTTTTACAACATCTCCCAGGCCAAGTTCTTGGTGAGTCTCTTCAGAGGAGGCTATTGGGTGCAAAATGAGAAGTGGAAACTGACTTTCTTCTGGAAATCTAGGCCTCTGACCACAGCTTCCATTTGGGTGCCAATTTCAACATCAAAGTGACAACATAGTTCAAGCCCACCATACTACATGTACTTTGATGTGACTTGTTCCCCTTTAATGTAAATTAAAATGACGTATTATTCATTGACTCACGTATATCGAACTTGAAAATAAAACCCATAATTAATTAATTAAGTGCATTAGAATTAATAATGATATTGTATTGAGGTGGACTTGTACACTAAGTTTTGTCCATTAGGCTAAGTACCCAAGTTAGACAAATTAATCTTCTTATCCCTTTCCTTATAAACTAACAGATGAGCTCATCACAACTTAGGGACTAATTGACTAATCAATTTGTAAGATTAGTAGTTGTTTTATAGTTCATTTTGAAGATTGGAATTGGATTGCCATTTAAAGACAAAATGCATGGGGCTTGGCAACGATTCTTCAATATTTATCTTCCTTTCATGAACTAATCCCAGTAATTATATATATATTATGACTTGTTTTCTCTTTAGTGTTACGATAAGACTCAGCTACGAGCTTTTAATAGAGTGGGAGATTGAGGTGAGAATACACACACACACACACACACACACATATTATGACTTGTTTTCTCTTCAGTGTTACGATAAGACTCAGCTACGAGCTTTCAATAGAGTGGGAGATTGAGGTGGGAATTCATTTACCTACCCTAAAAGATTTGAATTAAATGATAAGTAGAGAAACTTACGTGCATAGATGCATATACAACCACTTAATGACAGAGCATGTATATGATTCATGTACTGATGGTGTGTTTTCATTGGTTAGTTGTATACACATTCAATATATATAAGATTTTCTTCCACGAGTGAAAATTTGAACATGACGTTTTTTAGATAACATATATATCAGATGGCTTAACATTAACGTTTAAGTGTACCAGGAATCTTATCTCTCACGTACAAACAAAAGAGATAAGACATGAAACTTTTATAGACGTCAAGTTTACCTATTCCAATTAAGTCCCAAAACTCTTGGGAGGCAAGAATATTCTGCTTAAATAATAGTTTTCTAAATTTTGACACTAGGAATAGATTGAGACATTCATGTGCCCTACACATGATTTATGCTTTGCTCAATATTTATCATTTCAATGATTTCATCATCTTTGTTGCTTTCCATAGCTTAAACTTAAATTAATAGCTTAAGCTCAAATTATACTTTGGAAAATTTTCACCAGCGATATGCATCCACGTCTCGCCGTATTCTCATATTATATGTATAAAAATATATGTTTGCTAATATGATTAGTATGACACATTTGCTCTTGATTATTTAACTAAGAAATGGTCAGTTTGCTGGATGATTTTGCTTCCTTTGATCACATTTCATGGTTGGTAATTGCATCCAAATCTGTAATTTATTTAAATCTCTTCAGGTTGCCAACATATTAATAAGAAGATATATAGTTCTTAATTTATTTGAGGTCTATGTAAATAATGTCTAAGCATGCAATTAATAAGTCATTATTATCATGGAAAAACTAATGTATGTAAACTCTAATGCATGATATCAATGTAAATTCAAGTGGGTTTCAAATTCTTTCTTTAATCCAGTAAGCAGAAGAAACATCCATTTAGGGTGATTTTAGGATACAGTTGAAATTAGAGTGAGCATTCGATACATCTTATGATGTTGAATCAAAGATTTTCTGAGAAAGTTATGATCAATTCTTTCATATTATTTTTGGGTGGCAAGATTTTCCAATCTGTGTTGGAGTATGTTTATGTAGTTTCCATTACCTTGTGTCATCAACAGTCTTAATAGTACATTTTCTAAATTATATTAGATAGTAAATTCATTCGGTATTTATATAACTAGTGAATTTCTTTCTCGTCCGTAAACCCTAAAAGAGATTTATTTCATTGGTTAAATATGGATCTTTACATTGGATTTATAGATGCTTTGTCACATCATTACACGGTTGGTTTTTTAAAAGGAAACATATAATTAATGAGGAAAAAAATTGACTAAGTGTTAGGTATTCCAGTAACATAAGGTATCTTTTTACATCAAGTTGTTCTATTAATATTTAGGATAATAACTCATAAGCCTCCTAATCAGCATAGATACTTCATTTCCGAATTAAATTTAATATCTTTCAAGGTTTAAATACTGCTAGCTACTCCACCTTATCTACTCTTCAAACAATAGAATTATATAGTTATTCACTCCTTGATTGAATGGAGCTTGATCAAGTCCATTGCCTGGTTGAACCAAACTACATGGAAAAGTTCCAGGATTATAACCTGGAAACTGCATGTTTTTTACAAGGGGAAGATCCCATCTCCAGAAACACCATTCCTGAAGATGAGATTCTTGATAATGAGAACCTAAAAAGTTGCTCCAGATAGAGACAGAACTCATGGATTTTGCTTCCATTAGTCAGGATTCAGAGTGAGTGCCAGTCCTGGAAGTTCCCTGGAAAAAGAACTCATAAGTCCTGGAATGGTTCAAGCAACAGAAAAGGCAGAAGGGGATTCCCCGAAGGGACTCCAAGAAGAGTTGATTGAAGAAATCAGTGTAACTGATCTCCTGGTGATGGGAGCTGAAGCTGTTGAAGCGCAAAATTGGGTTCTGTCTTCAGCCATTGTTGCAAAGCTTAACAGTCTCTTGAGTGATGGAGAAAATGGTGATAACCATTTCAACAGGCTGGCTTTGTTCTTCAGTCAGGGACTGTTTTATAAAGAGCATCGGTACTCCCGACATGTTCCAGGAGCCTTTCGCTAAAGAGACAGACATTTCGCCTACCTTTCAGGTGCTCCAGGAACTCTCCCCTTATGTAAAGTTTGCCCATTTCACAGCCAACCAAGCCGTCCTGGAAGCCACAGAGGGCGATCAAGAGATTCATGTTACTGATTTCGATATCATGGAGGGGATTCAATGGCCGCCTTTGATGGTTGATCTTGCGTCGAGAAAGAATGTTGTTTCTCTTAGAGTAACAGCCATCATAACTGACCAGAAAAATTCAATCTTTGTGCAGCAAACAGGAAGAAGGCTCAAAGAATTTGCAGATTCAATCCATTTTCCATTCATATTTGACCATTTGGTGATGGTAAGTGACAACGATTTTGAATCAATCAACGCTGGCCACACTCTGATAGCCAATTGCATGATGCATCAGCTTCACATGCATAAAAGAAACTTATCCCAGGTGAAAACTTTCATTGATGGTGTGACAAAACTCTCACCGAAAATTCTCATTCTAGTGGGGGAAGAACTGTTCAGTTTTACAATGTTATAACCCCCGCATCAAACTAACCAAAACACAGAGCAATCCAAACAACACAGATCAAACAAACACACACACAAAACACCAAGATTTATTGTGGTTCACTTGTTCAGTTTGAACAAGCTACGTCCACGTTGAGCTCGGGAAACCAGAGAGCTTACTGCACTATATTAATCAAGATTACAATACAAACTTCTACTCCCGATCAAAACCTTTTCACAACCTTCTCAAGAACCCGTAACACCCTAGAGACATAGATCCCGTATCCCTAATACCCTGTGTACCCTAGCACATTCAAATGGCCTGAAACCAGCCACTTGATTTACAGTTACGAGATTCAAAACCACAAAAACCCAAACCCTATAGATACAGTTTTTTGTTTAACAGAGAAGAAAGAGATACAAAATGGTTTCAATCGATCGATTCAGATTGTTTGCCTGCTTATATACCGTTGACCTTCAAACTTTTTTTCCATCGTTGGATCTTCAGCCAGCCAATGATCAGGATTAATCTCACAATTAGCTCAAAACGACGTTGCTCCATTTAATGATGAAACGTTACCGTATAAAGCCATCACACCAACAATCTCCACCTTGATGGATTTATTCGTGACTGTAGTGTAGCTCACTCTTCTTGGATCCTTCATTGCTCTGGTCACTCTTGCCTACTTTATGAATAACAAGTTCAAGCAATGCTTGAACTTGGCAGGAGTGACTGTCTTTGTGCCCATGTCTGTAGGATTATCTTTAGTAGGTACCTTCAATAGGGTTATCTCTTTTCTTGAGATCAAGTCTCTGACAAAATGGTAGCAGACATCTATATGTTTGGTTTGTTCGTGGTACATTGGATTCTTACTCAAATGAATTGCGCTCTGATTGTTAGAAAATATTACAGTCTTCTGATTAGTCAATTTTGCTTCACTGAGAATTCCTTTAAGCCAGATTGCTTCTTTAAATATATCAGCTACAGCCACGTATTCAGCTTCAGTTGTGGATAATGCAACTATCGGCTGTAACTGCGATTTCCAACTGATACAGTTCCACCTAGAGTGAAGTTGTTAGTGAACGACCCAGTTACGCAGCGGAAAACAAAAACATGAACTACATAGATCGTTCCTTAGAACCAAGATCCGGGTACAAAAATCACAGTTTATACAAAATAATCAAATCTTCAGAAAAAAAAGTTCAAGGTTTAAGAACCATACCCACGTTGGAGGCTCCTCCAATTTTATCTCTGAACGTGTTTTACTGCCGACCCAAGTGTAGGATCGAACCGATGAAGTCCACACGAAGACAATCGCAAGGAACTAAGGAGGGATTTGCCAGATCCTCCTTAGCCTTAAGAAACAAGAAGAAAAATCAAAGAAGAACTTTGATTCTTTGCAAAAACAAAATCTGGCATGGGAGAGAGTTTTGAGGCTATGGGTTTTCTCTTTTCAATGAAAAATAAGTGTAATGAAAAACAAAAAACTTCATTTTACAAAGAAACATTTTCTTTTATAGTGATGTTTTTAATTGCCCTATTCCCATATGGAATAGGCTTGGGCTCCAACCCAAACACCCCATGTTACCAAATACTCCCAATTAGATATTTATTTTATTTCATCATTATCTTCAATTAAAATCAATTAATATATATTTAATCTATATATATATATATATATTAACATTTAACAATAATGATGATTTAATTAAATATATGCGAACACATATTTAAACGTAATTTCGTTTATTTAATTTTTCTAATAAATTAAATAAAGGCTATGACCTCAGCAAATTTAATTGCACTGTGAAATTACCAAAATACCCTTTCTCCTAAAAAGATGAAAACACCCTTCTTTCTTCCCGAGTCTTAAATTATCTTCTATGTGTGTGACCTATAAGCTCCTTATCATACTGGTAGTGTATAATATCGCGATTAACACCAATTAATCGTCTTACTAATACACAGACCAAGATTGACCCCTAGCAAGGCATCATGGCCACCCAATAGATTCAGATTCAGCAAAGTAGCTACCTGTCAATGATATGGTTACCGTACAATTCGATCCTTTCATCATATATTATCTCGACAAGACGAAGGCATAGAAATAGTGTCAACCTTCGGTTACTCTCGATATTATGTATTTAGTTTCTGGACCAATGACCTGTATTATAATCTGGATAGAGCAACAACTCAATCCCACTACGGCCACAGTTTTAGTGTCATTGCCATGTACTGAATTGCACCGTAAGATAACTTCTCCTATACCCGGGAGTGATGAATCCTCTGTCAATCCACCATAGTCTTGATACACTCCTTGATACAGCCAATCACCACCGTATTGATAGCTCTGAATAGAACAGCGTTAGGCTAGTGTCAAACTGCATCAATCGGTGCACAAGACGCTCCGGTGATCTCAAGTCTAAGGATCACATGTACCACCATTCGTTAGAGGATTTATTCCATAGACACTGGGGTTACCATCCATATGGAATCCTCTGGTGGGTCAATCCAGTGAACTTGCTGTGGTATATCCGCATACAGTAAGCACCCATGTGTTGCACCAGGTTGTCACCAAACAACCTTGACAAGTGAGATCAATCACTGTCTTTCGACAGGGTTGTTCAACACTATGATAGCCTTACCATATTATCTATGCCTTTACTTCAGAATAATACTAGGGCTACAGACGTTTCTAGAATGGCCACCATATGTGCTCATAGGGTTCTCACTATCAAGATTTGAAACACTTGATACCCTAGTCACGGTTCTACCATTCTAAGGACATATATCAATACATATTGCAATAATAATGATTTACGCGATATAGAATAAAATGCATTTTATTATTGATTAATGAACATTATTACAAAGAGTCAATTCTACAATAATTGATTAGCTCTAGGGCATCTACTCTAACAGAGGTAGTATGTTGTAGTTGATTTTCTGGTGTCCCTGTCACCTGCAAAATCTGAATCTTCAAAACCAACCAACTTAAGTGAAGTAGTCCTTTTACAATAATCCAGTCCAACATTCAATGTGGCATTTACATATTTAAGAACCCACTTTAGAGCAGCCCAGTATTCCATACTAGGGTTAGGCATATACCTACTAAGCAGGGATATTACAAAAGATAAATCAGGCCTAGTACTAATCATAGCATACATTAGGGATCCAATCACATTTGCATATGGTATGTGTTCCATCCTAATCAATTCAGCTTCAATTATAGGGCATTGTGATTTGCTCAATGTGAAGTGGCTGGCCAATGGAATAATGACTAGTTTGGAACCTGCCATCCCAAACTTTTCCACTAATTTATGCAGGTATGAACACTGGTGGACTCTCAGCTCACATTTATTCCTGTTTCTATCAATTTGCATGCCTAGTATCTTCTTTGCGTCCCCCAAATCTTTCATTTCAAATTCAGCACTAAGTTTTTCCTTCAATTCACATATTAGGGACTTAGACTTGCTTATAATTAGCATGTCATCCACATACAACAATAAGTAAACAGGCATGTTACCTTTAAGAGCAAAATAGAAGCAATTATCGTATTTACTCCTAGTGAACCTTATACTCACAATAAAGGTGTTAAACCTTTTATACCACTGCTTAGGGGATTGTTTTAGACCGTACCAAGACTTAAGCAGTAGACAGACATGGTTAGGGGTCTTCTAATTTATGAAACCTATAGGCTGACTCATGTAGATCTCTTCCTCGAGATCTCCATGTAGGAAGGCAGTTGTTACATCCATCTGTTCAAGTTCTAAGTCTAGGTTGGCTATTATGGACAACATTAATCTTATTGTTTTATACTTGACTACTGGGGAAAAGACTTCATTAAAGTCTATTCCCTCCCATTGGGTAAAGCCCTTGGCTACTAATCTAGCCTTATACTTGAGGGGTTCTTTAGCAGTTATACCATCCTTTAGTTTGAACAACCATTTGCATTGAATTACCTTTTGTTCCTTTGGCTTTGGTACTAGGATCCAGGTGTTGTTTACCTCTAGAGATTTCATCTCAGCTTCCATGGCAGTCCTCCATTTTTCCTTTTCCTTTGAGTTCATTGCTTCATCATATGTTTCAGGTTCAATTCTCTGCACTTCAGTACCTACAAGAAGGGTAGTGTAAATGAGATCAGCATATGAAAATTTGGTGGGAATTCTTACCTGTCTCTTGGTTCTATCTCTTGCAAGTTTTCAGGCTGTATTTTAGTGTCTTCTATTGTTTCTGTCTCATACTCTTGGTCTAGATCTGATTATCCAGTTTCTCCCCCAAGTTCAGGAATAGCTTCAGCTTCTTGGATGGTTATAGTTTCTTCAGGGTGTTAGGGGTAGGCAAGAAGCTCCACCTCAATTGGTGTAACCCTAGGATGACTAGGGATCTCTTTTGAGCTTGAAGTAGAACCTACGTCAGTGTTAGTTTCCTTACAAGGAAAAACTCCCTCATTGAATATTACATCTTTGCTCACAATAATTCTAACCCCAAGTAACTCCCTGTCCCAAAGTCTATACCCTTTTGTTCCTTCTTGATATCCTAAGAAGACACACTTAGTTGATCTTGGTTCAAGCTTTCCTCTAATCGAATGTGCATATGCAGCATAGCCAAATACTCTTAAGTGTCTCAGGTTAGGTCTCCTTCCCGTTCACATCTCTTCTGGGCACTTTAGGTTAATGGCAGTGGAAGGGCTCATATTTATCATGTAAGCTGAGGTAGTTAGGGTTTACCCCCAAAAAGAGGTGGGTAGTTTAGAGGTGATAAGTAGGCACCTAACCTTATCAAGAACAGTTCTATTCATCCTCTCAGCCACCCCATTCTGTTGAGGGGTGTATTTCATAGTCCTATGCCTCAAAACCCTTGATCACTACAGAATTTATCAAACTCTTGATCCCAGAACTCTAACCCATTATCTGTTCTGAGAATGTTAACGCTCTTATTCATCTGGTTTTCCACTAAGAGTTTCCATTCCCTAAATCTTGCTAAGGCTTGATCCTTGGATTTCAATAAGTAAACCCACACCTTTCGGTTGTAATCATCCACTAGAGACATAAAGTAACAGTTTCCCCCACAGGTTTTAACTCTCCCAAGTCCCCATAGGTAAAAAATGGATGTATTCTAGTTGACTAGTGGCTAGGTGTATCCCCTTTTGAAAACTGTTCCTATTTTGTTTTCCTAGAATGCAGTTCTCACAAAACTCCAGTGATGAAACACTATCTTGGCCAAACTGTCCTTGATTATTCAGGATATCCATTCCTCTTTGACTCATGTGGCCTAATCTAAGATGCCACTTTTTTGTAGTAGATAGTTTAGTAGACTTAAGCACAGAGCTAAAGCATTTTGGGGAGTCGTTCCCACAGAGTATATAAAGTCCATTCTTTTTCTCTCCTTTCAGGATTAAGTTTCTATTTCTGTAGATATTCAGGCATCCATTCTCTGCCTTATAACTGTGGCCTGATTCATCCAAGGTACCTAGGGATATTAGGTTTCTTTTAAGTTCTGGGATATATCTAACTTTTGTTAGTTTAACCAGTTTGTCAGTGTCAAGTTTTAGAGTTATGGAACCTATTCCTCTAACCCTACATGCATCGTTGTTCCCCATGTAAATAGTTTTTGAATCAGTGACTTCAAACTCCTGGAACCAATCTCTATTTGGACTCGTATGGAATGAACACCCTGAGTCCAACACCCACTCATTAGCAGTGTCAGACATTGACACTATGAGCACCTCAGGTTCATCTAACAAGTTTTTGGTGGATGCTAGATTGTTTTCTGTGTTCCCTTGTTTTTGCTTCTTGATCCATTCAAAACAATTCTTTTTAATATGACTAGTCTTATTGCAGAAAAAACATTTCCTAGTTTCTGTTTTGTTCTTGTTATTACCCTTCCATTTTTTCTTATTTTTATTTCCCTGATTCATAAAATTACCCTTCCCTATCTAACTAGACTCGACTCTGCTTTTGAAAAATAGGTTTGTTCTGTTTCTTTTCTGGACCTTCAATTCTAATTCTCTAGCCTTAAGCCCTGCTATTATTAGATCTAGTTTTGGTACAGTATCAGAGTACTACAATGCGTTTTTGACTACTTGGTAGTCCTCTGTTAGTGAGTTCAAAAGGATCATTGCTAGGCTAGTATCTCCTAGTTCTTCATCTGTTCCTTTTAGGATTAGAGTCATTTTTAAGAATTCATCTCGAGTCTCTTCTACACTCCTAGAACTATCCATTTTATACGAAAATAAAGTACCTTTCAAAAAAGCCAAATTAAGGGCAGATTGTAAAACATATCAAGAGTTGAGTTTACCCCATAATTCAAGTGGAGATTCGATTCCATCTACCTTTCTGAGGACACTGTCAGACAGATTTAAGATTATCAAGTTGTAGGCCTTTTCATTAATCTCCTCATTCTATTTTAGCTTCTCCTTCGACCACTTTTTAAGGTCATCTTCCAATGCGATTGCCACCTTATTATGTGAGAGGAGTGCTCTCATCTTTTTCTCCCAACTCCCGAAGTCAATCTTCCCATCATATTGGGAGATTTCCATTCAGGTGGAGGTGTTTGACATAGTGAGTGATTGATTTTGGTTGATAAGGTTGCAAATTCAAGAATTAAGACTCGTTCTTGAATTTCAAGAAACGAAGAAAAACCCTAGATTTCTACCCTGTATGAAATCTAAGCTCGTTCGATCAGAAAACTATGCTACAAACTCCCAATTTTGTTTTGAAACCCTAAAATTGAGAAACCCCCAAATTTTTTTCGACAATCAAAGAAACCCTAAAATTTTAGATCAAAAAATTGAGACTTTGATTCTTCTCCCTTGATCCTTTTTACTATGCTCTGATACCATTGTTATAACCCCCGCATCAAACTAACCAAAACACACAGCAATCCAAACAACACTGATCAAACAAATGCACACACAAAACAACAATATTTATCGTGGTTCACTTGCTCAGTTTGAGCAAGCTATGTCCACATTGAGCTCGGGAAACTAGAGAGCTCGCTACACTATACTAATCAAGATCACAGTACAAACTTCTACTCTCGATCAAAACCCTTTCACAACCTTCTCAAGAACCCGTAACGCCCTAGAGACATAGATCTCGTATCCCTAATACCCTGTGTACCCTAGCACATTCAAATGGCTTGAAACCAGCCACTCGATTTATAGTTACAAGATTCAAAACCACAAAAACCCAAACCCTAGCAAATACAGTTTTTTGTTTGACAGAGAAGAAAGAGATACAAAATGGTTTCAATTGATCGATTCAGATTGTTTACCTGCTGATATACCATTGACCTTCAGACTTCTTTTCCACTGTTGGATCTTCAGCCAGCCAATGATCAGGATTAATCTCACAATTAGCTCAAAACGACGTTGCTCCATTTAATGATGAAACGTTACCGTATAAAGCCATCACACCAACATACAAGAACTCCATCAATGTCATTTATGGAATTCTTCTGTGAGGCGCTCCACCATTACACAGCAGTTTCTGATTCCACGGTGATCAGTTTTTGCAAGGACCATGAAGTAGGATTGAGATGGATAGAAAAAGAGTTTCTGGGGATCAGAATTCTAGAAAATTTGAGCCAATTCCCATCTGCAAATGAAGAGAAAATGCAATGGGGAAAAAGGTTCGATTGTTTAAGAGAATTCAAGCCAATAACTTTGAGTTCTTGCAACATTTCCAAGGCTAAGTTCTTGGTGAGTCTCTTCAGAGGAGGCTATTGGGTGCAAAATGAGAAGTGGAAGCTGACACTGTGCTGGAAATCTGACCACAGCTTCCATTTGGGTGCCAATTTCAACATCAAGGTGATAACATAGTCTTGAAATCTAGGCCTCTGACCACAACTTCCATTTGGGTGCCAATTTCAACGTCAAGGTGATAACATAGTTGAAGCCCACTTGATTTGTCAACTTATGGAAATAGATTTGAATAGTTTAGGTATTGATAGTTTATATGTGAACTTGTACTTTAGTTGTGCTTTGTGTGATTAGTTGCAACTTGCTACCATTTTTAAGTATATTTGTTAGTGTTCACCAAACTTTATGCAGACAATTGTACAACTATTTCTGCCTTTGTTATGATTAGAATGGTGTGTAGTAAATACTACTATTACTATCTCAACACGATGCACAAAATGACTCATTTTAGAGATGAATTTTTGAAACAAAATTTTGCATTATCTACTCAAAAAATCTTTAAAATGATAAAAACTTTTATGTTGCAATATAACTTATCAATAAAAAAGTAAGAATGTTCGACTGTTGATTTAATATATTCTTATTAGCGGGTTATATTATAACAAGCACTAACAAAACCAGTTTATGCCCAGGAGGGGCCCATGCCCTACCTCAACTTTTAAAATTTTCATGTATTTCATATTTCGTAGATTTCTCTCACAACAACACCAACACATGAATAAAAATATATAATTGATTTTGCTTCTTCTTCTTTCTAATTTGTGTTGCATTTTGAAAAAGTAATTAAGGTTATATGAAATTATGTATTGAGATTTAAGTTATATTATGTCACAAAAGAAAATTCATAAAAAGAAAATTCTAATTATTTTATAAACTTGTTATTGTATGTATATAATAATTTTTCATTATTTTTTTTTCAAATAAAGTATATTTTAAATATAGGTGAATAAATATTACGATTAAAATATGTTTTATTTAAATAATCAATCTTGATCATGGATGTATGTTGAATTTTAACGTACTCTAATTTCCTATTTACAGTAAACCCCTCAATGTATGATTTATCTAGCAAGACCCCATAATTTTCACGGATTGCAAACAACGGCCACTACTGACTACACTACACACGCCACGTGAACGGGGCAGTTTATTAAAAGGCCATCTCAAGTTTGCATTTAATTAAAAGGCTATCAAGTTTTAAAGTGTTAACTAAATAGCCATATTATTGATTAAGGGTAATTAGTGCATTATTAGGATTAATGAAGTATTATGTAATCTTTTCAAAATTTATACTATATTCCCATAAACCCAAAATTGTTGCAAACAAACCCAAACACCTTCCCGCCATTAACGCATCTAGCTCCCTCTGTATCTTCTTCTCTTCTTCTTAGCTTCGTCTACATCTTCTTCTTCCTCTACATCTTCTTCTTCTTCCTCCTTCCTCTACATCTTCTTCTTCCTCATTCCTCTATATCTTCTTGTTCCTAAACCATTAACACTTTATTCTTCCTCCACCATTAACATCTTCTCCGCCAAAGATCCCCCTCCTCCTCCTCCTGACATTTCATCTAAGTATGTGTATCTTCTTTTTACATTTTATATTTAGATTTACAAAGATTTAATAATGGATGGGGTTTGGGTTATGATTTTGATTTAGTTGTTTAGGTTGTTGGGTTGTGTTTGATGTAATGCAAGTTGAAAGGAGTGAAATTTGTTGAAAATTTGTTCTAGGTATGTGTTCTGGGTATGATAGAATCGATTGTAGGTGGAGATGACTGAAAATGTGTTCTGGCTATGATGGATTGCTTAAGCGATCTGGTGTATCGCTTAAGCGATCTGGTAGTCTGGTAATGCAGCAGATAGATCGCTTAAGCGATCTGGTAAAAGTTTGGTGTATAGGAGCAGATCGCTTAAGCGATCAGTAAATGACATAAGATCACTTAAGCGATACAACAGACCATATAAGCGACTGTGCAGATTCTTTTTAAAATATTTGAACCCTTAGTACAGCATTTAAGAATTTTTTTTTTCTTGCATTATAGGTAGTTGGCTATTATTACACATGGGACAAGTTGTTTTGGGTGTTGAATATTTTGGTGAGTGGGTGGAGGAAGAACGTAGCTGGGAGTGGATTGGGAAGAGCAAAGAAGTTATACTAATTGATGTGAGCACAGAGGTTAGTTTTGATGAGTTGATTGATGAAATAATTAGAAGAGGTAATTTGAGTTGCTTGAGTAGTGATATAGTTGTGAAGTATGTTTTAAGTAGAGTTCCTGAACATTATAAGGTACCTCCTGCTATATTAAAGTCGGATGAAAGTGTGAAGTTATATATGATTGATGTGGCCGATAATGGTTCGAGGCCGATTTTAAGGGTTTCTCTTGTAGAAAAACCATTCGAAGTTGGTTCAAAGGAAGGGGATAACGAGGAAGTAGGCGGAGATTTGCCTGGTTTTAATTTGAACTATGAGGCCGTTGATTTGTTAGTTGAAAAATCAAGAGTAGACGGTGAATTGGGTAGTGAGGATGACACTATAGAAGAGGTTGGTGATGGGGGGTAGAATGAAAATGTTGAGGAAAAGGACTCTGTAGATGTTCCCACAGATGTAGAGATTCCTTTAAATACAGATTATGCAGAAGGCGTAGATTGTGAGGAAGAGAACACCATGGTCGTTTATGCAGGTTCGGAGAGGGCAATTGGAGGTAGTAGTGAATTAGCTCATGTTTTTACGGATGGATCGGAGTTGCACATAGGGTATTTATTTGACAACAAAGAGGAAGTGGTGAGGAAGCTAAAACTTGTTGCCGTGAGAGGTAATTTTGAGTTCATCACGAAAAAGTCAAATTCATTGGCCATGACGATTGCATGTTGTGACCGAAAGTGCAAGTGGCAGATTTATTGTAAAAGGTTGGCGGAGTCGGAAAAATTTATGCTTAGCATATATACCCATGAACACACTTGTGGTTTGGGACATATTTCAGGGGAGCATCGACAAACGTCCGCTGATGTTATTGAACAATTTGTCAAAAGTCGGTTCGTTGAAGGGAAAGGTCCATCTCCTAAAGACATTCAGAGACTTGTGCGCACAGAGTTGGGATGTGCTGTTAGTTACTGGAAATGCTGGAAAGGGAGACAACGTGCACCAGATTTTGTGAGGGGCACGCCAGAGCACGGGTACGTAGTATTAGAAGCGTACCGTTATATGCTTGAGTTGATAAACCAAGGTAGCAAGACGGCTTTGAAGTGGGACAGGAATATGATGTTTAAATATTTTTTTATTACTTACGGTTCTGCTATAAGGGGTTTTGTAAACATGAGAAAGGTGTTGGCTATTGATGGTTGCTTTTTGACGGGAAAGTATGGAGGTATATTGTTAGTGGCCACTGCACAAGACAACGAGAATCACACATATCCTGTTGCATGGTGTGTGGTTGACTCTGAGAATGACGAGTCGTGGACTTGGTTTTTTCAGCAGTTATGTACGATAGTGCCTGACACTGATGAGTTGTGCATAATATCCGATAGGCACAACTCTATAAAGAAGGGGATTGCCACTATTTACCGTCAAGCATATCACAGATTCTGTATGAGGCACCTTGGTGAGAACATAAAACAAAAGTTTAAGTGTGCTGGCCTCTTTCAAACATACTACATGACAGCAAAAGCTTATCAGGTTGATGCGTTCGAGGAGCACTTCCAGCAAATCCAAATCAAGGATGATAGAGTTGCTAAGTATCTTGAGCATGATGTTGGTTTCAAGCGATGGAGTAGAGCTTACTTTCCTGGAAGAAGGTTTGATGTCATGAACACGAACATAGCCAAGTCCATAAATTCGAAGTTGTTAATAGAAAGAGAGTTTCCAATAGTTTCACTTTTTGATGCAATCCAAAGGACACTGTCGTGGTGGTTCCATGAGCGTCGTACGGAGTCAGATAATTTTACTACAACCCTTGTTCCGTCAGCTGAAAAATTATTGCGAGAATGTATGGAACTGTCAAATGCACTGTTTGCCTATCCTTTTNTTGATTATCTTTGCATCAATGATCAGTTGTAAGATTCCGATGGTGGATGTTGACAGAGACCAAGTTCGTCATTTTGATTGAATTCGAATTAAATTGTTTTTGTTTTTGCTGAGATTGTTTTTAGTTTTTACACAAACCCCCCAGCCTTTTTCACATCAAAGAAAATTCGGCTAGACACTCTTCGTGGGATCGACCCTTGCTTACCCTATTTACAGTTCAGTAGTTAGGTTTGGAAGGTTTTAATTCTTGGTGCCTATGACAGCACACCACTTGCTTCGACATATTGTTGAAAGGAGCTTATGATCTGTGTAAAGATAATGACATACCAATCTCGGAGAACATGGAAGATATTTTTGGGAGGACAAAACGGGGGATTGCGCCAATTACGAATAAACATCATTTTAAGGTGGAATTGATGTACACAGTTTTAGATAACATTCAAGAAGAACTCAATAATCATTTTGATGAAGTAAATATGAGGTTGCTTTAGTGTATGACATCTCTTGATCCAAGTAACTCTTTTGCTGCATTTAACAAAGACAGATTACTTGAGTTTGCAAAGTTCTATCCTGTCGATTTTCCTCAACACAATATTTGGTTGATCGATAATCAACTTGAAAACTATTATGAGAATGTTAGCACCAACGCCAGTTTCACTTATGTTGATGGGATTGCCGATCTTGCAAAAAAAAAAAAAATGGTTGAGTTTAAGAAGGATGTTGCTTACGACAAAGTTTTCTTGCTTATTAAATTAGCATTGGTTTTGCCCATGGCTACTGTAACAGTTGAAAGGGTGTTCTCTATAATGAATCTTGTTAAGAATATTTTGCATAATCGAATAGGAGACGAGTAGATGAACAATTGCTTAGTAGTTTACATTGAAAAGGAAGTTTTTGCTACAATTCAAAATGAAGATATCATTGAACATTTTCAGAACATAATGAAGCGAAAAATCGTGTTAAGTTAAAGATCTTCAGGTATCTATTCTAACTTGCTTTCATTTTTAAATAATCAGTATTCATATTATTTAGATATTTAGGTATACCATTCTAACTTTATTTTTGGGTCAATACGTAGAGGATGTGTGAATCTTTAATCTAGACGGTTGAGTTAGAATGTTAACGCTTGGATCTGGATTTGGAGTGATTGTAATCCATCTC